CCCCCCCCCCCTTTTTTTTCCCCCCTTTTTTCCTTGTTTTTTTTCTGTTAGTCCCATGGGGCCCGTCCCCCCCTGTTTTTTTTTTTTTTTTTTTGAGACAGTATTTTTGGTAGTAGCCCTGGCTGGCCTACAACTTCCTTTGTAGATCCAGCTGATTTCGAATTTGAAGCAATTCTGCTTCTGCTTTCCTAGTCCTAGGTTTGTTTACAGGTGTGTCATTATCCCTAGCTCTGATTTTCGTTTTGTTTTGTTCTTTGGTTTCTTTGAAACAGGGTGTAACTATAAAGCCCTGGACAGCCTGGAACTCTCTCTTTATATACCATACTGGCCTTGAATTCACAAATTCTGAAGTGAGCACACACCCAGCTCTGTCATTTTTTTTTGTTTGTTCATTTGATTTTTTAATTTGAAACAAAGTCTGACTGAAGCCCAGGCTAGCTCAGAACTCACTATGTGGCCAATGCTGTCTCCAAATTTTTTGCCTTAGCATCCTGTATATTGGGATGATGATCAAAAGCCCTACCAAATGATTTTTTAAAAATTACTTTTATTTTATGTGTATGAGTTTTATGCCTGCATGTAGGTAAACGTGCCTGTGTCCCTGTAGTGCGCTCAGAGGACAGAAAAGGCTGTCGGATCCCCTGGAACTGGAGTTACGGACAGCTGTTAGCTGCCATGTGGGTGCTGGGATTTGAGCCCAAGTCTTCTTTCTGCACGAACAGTCAGTGTTAACTGCGAAGCCATCTCTCCAGCCCCCCAAATGAATTTTAATTTTGCTTGATTCAAATATTTAGGGTTTTTTTGTTGTCTTTTTTTTTTTTTTTTTTTTGGAGATAATGGTTTCATGTAGCCCAGGCTGGCCTTGAACTTTCTATGTAGCTGAAAATGGCTTTTCTTAAGATTTCTTTTATTTTTTTTATTTTTATTTTATGTATATGAGTGTATTGCTTGCATGTAAATAGGTGCTCCCATGTTGTATGCAATACTCGTGGAGGTCAGAAGAGGATGTTGGATCCCCTGGAACTGGAGTTTATGGATGATTGTTAGCCACCATAGGGGTGCTAGAAGTCAAAGCCATGTCTTCTTTAAGTGTAGCCAGTGTTTTTAACCACTGAACCATCTCTCCAGGCCCAAGATTTATCTTATTTTTATTGTAAGTATATTTGCTTGTGTGGTGTATGTGTACCACATGTGTGCCTAGTGCCCACTGAGGCCAGAAGAAGAGAGTATCAGATATCCAAGAGAGTTATAGATGGTTGCGAGCTATCTTGTAGATGCTGAGAACTGAACCTACTGTTTTCTGCAGTAGTAGCCAGTGCTTTTAACTGCTGAGTCATCTTTCAAGCCCCAACTTGGAACTTCTGCTCCTTCTCCCTCTACCTCTTCAGTATTGGAACTTAGAGGCATATTATCGCCGTGCCCAGTTTACAATTTGGTTCTTCTTTATTTAAAAATAATGTTTTTTTTTCTTTTTTTTGGTCTTTTTGAGGCTTCCCTGTAGCCTCAGCTGGCCTGGAACTCACTGTGTAGACCAGGCTGGCCTCAAACTCTCAGAGATCCACCTGCCTGTGCCTCCCAAGTGCTGGGATTAAAGGCGTGTGCCACCACACCTGGCATATATATTTATTTATCAAATAACTTTTTCTTTTTTAAAATTTTGTTATTTTTATTTTATGTGTATGCATGTATTGCCTGCATATAGGTAAGTGCACCTGTGTTGTGCAATGCCCACAGAGGTCAGAAGAGGCTGTTGGATCCCCTGGGACTGGAGTTACGGACAGTTGTTAGTTGCCATGTGGGTACTGGGATTTGAACCTGGGTCTTCTGCAAGAAAAACCATTGTTCTTAACCGCTGAGCCATTTCTCCAGCCCCCTCAAGAACTTTATATATATATTTTTTTTTTTGTCTTTTTGAGACAGGGTCTCCCTATAGCCCCAGCTGGCCTGGAACTCACTATGTAGACCAGGCTGGCCTTGAATTCACAGAGATCTGCCTGCCTCTGCCTCCTGAGTGCTGGGAATAAAGGCGTTGCACCACCACGCCTGGCTCATGTATATATATATTTTATTATTTTTATTTTATGTGTATGCATGTATTGCCTCAGTGTTAGGTAAGCGCACCTATGTCATGCAGTGCCCTCAGAGGCTGTCAGATCCCCTGGAACTGGAGTTACGGGCAGTTCTTAGCTGCCGTGTGGGTGCTGGGATTCGAACCCGGGTCTTCTGCAAGAACAACCATTGTTCTTAACCACTGAGCCATCTCTCCAGTCCCCCATTCTTTCTTTATTTTGAGTATTTTGCCTGCATGTATAAAAGTATACACATGTTGTGGAATGCTCAGAGGCCAGAAGAGGGTGTTGGATCCCCTGAATGATTGTTAGCTTGCCATATGAGTTCTGGGGTCCTTAACAAGAGCAGCTAGTACTGTTAACCAACGAACCATCTCTCCAGCCCCCTAATTTTGTATTTGTTCAAGGGTGGCCTTGAACTTTCAATCCTCCAGCCATACCTTCTTCAGTGCTGGGATTATAGGTGTGTACCACCACATCTTTTTGTCTAGGTTTTTTGTTTTGTTTTTGTCTTTGTCTTTTTGAGAAAAGGTCTCCTGTAGTCCCGGCTGGCCTGGAACTCACTGTGTAAACTAGGCTGGCTTTACTATCACAGAGATCCACCTGCCTCTGCCTTCCAAGTGCAGAAATTAAAGGCATGCGCCGCCATGCCCAGTGTCTTGTCTAGCTTTTTTTTTTTTTTTTTTTGCTTTATTTTATTTTATTTATTATTTTTATTTTATGTGTATGAGTGTATTGCCTGTATGTAGGTAAGTGTATCCGTGTCGTGCAATGCCTGCAGAGGTCAGAAGAGGCTGTTGGATCCCAGGGACTGGAGTTACTGACAGTTGATTTATTCATTTATTTTGGTCTTTTTTTTTTTTTTTTGGTCTTTGAGACAGGGTCTCCCTGTAGCCCCAGCTGGTCTGGAACTCACTATGTTGACCAGGCTGGCCTTGAACTCACAGAGTTCTACATGCCCTGCCTCCCAAGTGCTGGGATTAAAGGCGTGCATCATCACACCCGGCTATTTTGGTCTTTTTGAGGCAGGGTCTCCCTCTAGCCCCAGCTGGTTTGGAGTTCGCTATATAGACCAGGTGGCCTAGATCTTACAGATCTGCCTGCCTTTGCCTCCTGAGTGCTGGGTTAAAAGTGTGTGCCACCACACCCAGAAAATGAACTTTTAAGATTTATTTTTAATCATGTGTATCTGTTTGTCTGTGAGTGTGGGTGCCCATGGAGACAGAGGTGTTGAGTCCCCTGGTGTAGGTAGGTGTGAATTGCCTCACACTGGTACTCTATAAGAGGACTTCTGTTTGATTGCCAGCACCTATGTTAGGCAATGTTTTTGTTTTTGTTTTGAGACAAGATCTCACTACGTTAGTTTTGACTAACCGAACTGGAACTCACTATGTAAAATAGGCTAGTCTTAAACTCCTTGCTTCTCTCTCCCATGTGCTGGGATTAAAAAAGCATGTGCCATCAGGCCCAGTGCAACTTTTTTTTTTTTGTAATGAACTTTGTGTGTGTGTGTGTGTGTGTGTGAGAGAGAGAGAGAGAAAGCGAGAGAGAGAGAGAGAGCGAGCGAGAGAGAGAGAGAGAGCGAGCGAGAGAGAGAGAGAGAGCGAGCGAGAGAGAGAGAGAGAGAGAGAGAGAGAGAGAGATTTTGCTATGAAAACTTTGGAACTGCTATGTAGCTCAGGCTGACTTTGAACTCAAGAGAATCTCTTAGCCTCCTATGTCCTGGGTTTGCAGATGTGCATTCCATGCATTTTGTTTTTTGAAACGGTCATTCTCTAGACCAGGCTAACCTAGAACTTACCATATAGTCCAGACTGGCCTTAGACTTACAGTGATCTTTCTACCTTGGCTGCTAACATGTTGAAATTATAAACCTGAGCTCCCAAATCTGACTCTAATCTTTTTAAGATTGACAGCTTACTCATGGAATTAAAGTTACAGTTCCCATAATGTTTTTTTGCTACATTTTCCTGTGTTTATCAGTCTATTTTGTCCATCTTAAACTGCTTCTTCTTTTCTTCAGTAGGAAATCCATGAAGTCCAGAAGTAGAAGTCCTGCATATTCAAGACACTCATCTTCTCATAGTAAAAAGAAGAGATCCGGGTCACGCAGTCGTCATTCCAGTATCTCACCTGTCAGGCTTCCATTGAATTCCAGCCTGGGAGCTGAACTCAGTAGAAAAAAGAAGGAAAGAGCAGCTGCTGCTGCAGCAGCAAAAATGGATGGGAAAGAATCCAAGGGTTCACCTATAATTTTGCCTAAAAAAGAGAACAGTTCACTTGAGGGGAAGGATTCAGGCATAGAGACTAAAAAGTTACCCAGAGGTGTAAAATTGGAAAAATCTAATCTAGATACTGAACTGGTAAATATAGCCCATTCAAACACAGAGGTCAAAAATTCTTTAGATACAGGGAAAGTAAAGTTGGATGAAAACTCTCAGAAGCATCCTGTTAAGGATTTGAAATCACAGGGAACAAAAGACTCTAAACCTGTAGCATTGAAGGAGGAGATTGTTATTCCAAAGGAAACAGAGTCGTCAGAAAAGGAGACCCTTCCTCCTCTCCCCACAGTTACTTCTCCTCCTCCCCCCTTACCATCTACTACCCCTCCACCTCAGATACCTCCTTTGCCACCTTTGCCTCCACTACCAGCTATTCCACAGCAGCCACCTCTGCCTCCTCCCCAACCACCATTTAGTCAGGTTCCTGTTTCTAGTACTTCAACTTTACCCCCTTCTCCTCACCCAAGGACATCTACTCTGTCCTCTCAGGCAAATTCTCAGCCCCTTGTACAGGTTTCCGTGAAGACTCAAGTATCTGTAACAGCTGCTATTCCACACATGAAAACTTCAACATTGCCTCCTCTGCCCCTCCCTCCCTTGTTACCTGGAGATGATGACATGGATAGGTAAGTCCCATAGTAGACTGGGAAAAGTTAGCCCTCTTGATCTCTAATGTATTTTGTTTTAAAATTTGTTGTTGAAACTAATGTATAGCTTTCAGAATGCTTTCATGAATAGGAATTGCCCCCCCCCCCAAGTCCACTCAAGTATTACTTGAAAGAAGAGTACTCAAATTTACTTTTTTTTTTTTTTTTTTTTAATTTTTTTGGTTTTTTAGAAACAGGGTTTCCCTGTAGCCCCAGCTGGCCTGGAACTCATTGTGTAGACCAGGCTGGCCTTGAACTTACTGAGATCCACCTGCCTCTGCCTCCCAAGTGCTGGGACTACAGGTGTGTGCCACCACGCCCAGCTTTAAAATTTACTTAAAAAAATTTTTTTTATTACATTTATTATTTATATGAGTATATGCACAACATGTTGCACATATGGCGGCAAGAACACAACTTGGTAGGAGTTAGGGGTTTTTTGGTCTTTTTGAGACAGGGTCTTCTGTAGTCCCAGCTGTCCTGGAACTTACTATGTAGACCAGGCTGGCCTTGAACTCAGAGATCTGCGTGCCTCTGCCTCCCAAGTGCTGGGACTAAAGGCGTGCACCACCACGCCTGACTTTGGGAGTCAGTTTTTTATTCTACCTTGTGGGTGTGGGCAGTTAGTGCTCAGGCTTGGTGGCAAGTGTCTTTATTCACTGAGTCATCTTTTGACCTTTTGTTGTTGTATCTTTGTTTGAGATGCCTCCTGAGTGGCATCCAGCTTTTTCTTTCTGTCCTTTTTTTTTTTTTTTTTTGAGAAAGGTCTTTCTGTGCTTCTTTGGCCTAGCATTCACTATAGCTCCAGCTAGCCTACAACCTACAACACACAGCAGTCCTCCTCCCTCAACCTCAGTGCTGAGATTATAGACTTATGCAACTGTGCCTGCCAGAATTAAGAATTTGAGACCTAGTAAATCTAAATCTTCTACTTTTTTAGATTTGTTTTTGTTTATTTATCTGTATGCATGTGAGCCTGCTAGAGTATTTATGTTCCACATGTGTACAGAAGCCCATGGAGACCAGAAGAAAGTGATAGATCCCTTGGAACTAGAGTTACAGGTGGTTGTGAGCCACTGTGGTTGCTGGGAACCTAATCCTCTGCAAGAACAATAAGTGTTCTTAACCATTGAGCCATCTCTTCAGACCCAAGTTTACTGTTTTTATTTGTGTGTGTGTGTGTGTGTGTGTGTGTGTGTGTGTACACGTGTGTGTACTCATGCAGGGGGTGTGCATATGGAACCCAGAGGGCAACCTTAGACTTCAGGCATCATTCGTCGGGGATCCATTTGTCTCTGCCCCCCCCAGTACTGAGATTACAAGCAGATAATGCCACCCTGCCCAGCTTTTTTACGTGGATTCTGGGGATTGAACTCAGGCCATCGTGCTTGTACATGAGTCAACTGAGCAATCTCCCCAGGCCCTATTTTCTTTTTTTTCTTTCTTTCTTTTTTTTGGTCATTTTTAAAAAAATATTTATTTTTTTATTTTTATTTTTTGTCCTTTTTGAGACAGGGTCTCCCTGTAGCCCCAGCTGTCCTGGAACTCACTATGTAGACCAGGCTGGCCTTGAACTCACAGACATCCGCCTGCCTCTGCTTCCTGAGTGCTGGGATTAAAGGCGTGCACCACCACACCCAGCCTATTTAGTCTTTTTATATGATGTGTATGAGTGTTATGCCTGCATCTAGGTAAGTGCACCCATGTCATGCAATGCCCTTGAAGGACAGAAGAGGCTGTCAGATCCCCTGGAACTGGAGTTACATACAGTTGTTAGCTGCCATGTGGGTGCTGGAATTCATACCCGGGTCTTCTGCAAGAACAACCAGTGTTCTTAACCGCTGAGCCATCTCTCCAGCCCCTTCTTTTGGTCTTTTTGAGACAGGGTATAGCCCCAGCTGGCCTGGAACTCACTCTGTAGACCAATCCAGCTTCCATTTCACAGATATCCACCCGCCTCTGCCTGCCAAGTGCTGGGACTAAAGGGGTGCGCCACCACACCTGGCTTTTATTTTTTAACTTAGTATTGTTTTTATTTGGGCATACATGCCATGATGTATACTGGTAGGTCAAAGGACAATATTATAGTTCTCTTCTTCCTCCTAGATAATAGGTTTCAGATCCAACTCAGGTCACTAAGATTGTGTGGCAACTGAGCCCTCTTGCTAGCTAGTGTTTTTATTCTTTAAAGTTTTTAATGTCTGTAGAAAATTAATAGTGATATAATTAAAATAACATGCTTCAGTAGGTTTATAATTGGGTAACTTTTAGCAAGAATTTCCTAATAATATTTTCCTGTATGATCATATTATCTTCACCACCCTGAAGAGCTTAATAGTGTTTTAATAAAATGGGTCAGTAGTGTAATGTTAATTAAGTAGTACCAGTGGTCTCCAAAATGTCTTTCAAAGCTTGGTAGGTGTTTGTGGTTCTTTTGTTTGTTCTTTTTTTTTTTTAATTTATTTTTCTTTTATGTATATGAGTGTTTTGCATTCATATATGTAAGCACACCCATGCATACAGTGCCACAGGTGCCAGAAGAGGGCCTTAGAGCCTCTGGAACTGAAGTTATGGATGGTTGTTAGCCATCAGTCATGTGGATACTGGGAACCAAATGTGGATCCTCTGCAAGAGCAGCCAAAGCTCTTAACCACTGAACCATCTCTCTAGCCAAACTAGGTTTATTTTGAAAGGGACTATTTTTTTGTTTCCATTTTTGTTTCTTTAGGCAGATTTTCAGGTAGCCCAGGTTGGCCTAGAATTCACTGTGTCAGTAAAGAATGACCTTGAACCTTATTCTCCTGACTCCACTCCAAATTCTGGAATTACTGGTATGTTCTATACCATGCCATCTGAACAAGTTACTTTAAAAAAAAATTACACTGGTTATGGTGTTGCCCTCCTATAATCCTACCAGTTGAGAGCTGGAGGCAGGAGGATCACTCAAACTCATCCTCGACTCTGTAGCTAGTGAGTTTAAGACCAACTTTGCCTACATGAGAACCTGTCTCAAAAAAAAAATCCATTCTATAAGAAACAAAAGCAATTATGTGGACTCTTTCCTGGTTAGAGTGCAGCTCAAAATAGGATAATAGGAAGTGCTTAAATTTTAATGAGTCCTTTGACTATTGAGAACTGAAACGATTAAGAAGCATGAATCTGATATTATTGAAGACACCATGAAAGGTTTTTAAACCATTGGTCATATTAGCTAGGCCAGATCTCCAAACAAACAAATAGCTTTATTCCCAAGCCTCTTCTTTCTTCCTTCCTTTCTTTTTCTTTTTTGAAACGGTCTCCCTGTACCCCAGGTGACCTGGAACTTACTGTGTAGTCCAGGCTAGCCTCCCATCTCAATGAGATCCTTCTGCCTCTGATTCCCCAGTACTGGGAAGCTTGTTACTTTATAGATGATACAAGTAATTTGAATAATGATCTTTGTGTGTATGTCTGTCCGTGTGTGTGTGTGAATGTATGTACATACACATATGCACATGAGGGTAGAGGTGCACATATATATGGAGACCTGAAGTTAGCCTTGGGTGTTCCTCAGGAGCCATCCACCTTGTTTCTTTTTTCAGGAACTGGTTTAATTATCAAAAGTCATATTTAATGCCACAACTAGAAACAATTGGTCACATTGCAATCTGAATGCAAACAAATTTTTGTGTTGTTTTGTTTTTTTGAGACAGGGTCTGCCTGTAGCCCCAGCTGGCCTGGAACAGGGTGGCCTTGAACTCACAAAGATCTACACCTGTCTGCCTCCCAAGTTCTATATTTTTGTGCCACTCCTGGCATAGTATTTTGGTTTTTAAACATTTATTTAGAATCAGTGTGGAAATGTGTGCCTTGGTGTGCATGTAGAAGTCAGAAGACAACTTGCAAGAGCCTGTTCTATCATGTGGGTCCCAGGGATTGAGCTTTAGGTCATCAAACTTGGCACATGCTTTTACCTACTTAGTCATCTTGTTAGCCTCACCTTGTTTTTGGAACTTGGGCTTGCCTAGCAAGTGAACCCCATGAATCCGCCTGTTCCTACAAGTCTGTGCCATCAGACCTATCTTTTTTTTTTTTTTAATTTTTTTTTTAACATTTTGTTTATTATTTTTATTTTATGTGTATGAGTATATTGCCTGCATGTATGTGAGTGCACCCGTGTCGTACAATGTCAGAAGAGGGCTTCAGGTTCCTTTGGAACTGGAGTTAAGGATGGTTCATGGCCACCAGGTGGGTGCTGAGAATCGAACCCGAGTCCACTGCAAGAGCAGTCAGTGCTCTTAACTGCTGAGCCATCTCTCCAGTCCCCTATCTTTTTTTTAATTAAATTTTTTTATCCAGCTGGGCATGGTGATGCATGCCTTTTAATCTCTGAGACTGAAGCAGGTGGATCTCTGTAAGGAACCTGGCCTTCATAGTTAGTTCCAGGCCACTACATGGAGACCCTGTCTCAAAAAAGACCAAAAAAATTTTTTTTATTTTAAATTATGTATATGTGTGCCTGTGTGGGCATGTGCTTGTGAGTGGAAGTGCTAGTGGAGAACAGAGGTGTTAGATCCTCCTGGAGCTGGAATTACAGATAATTATGAGCTGCCCTGTGTGGGTACTGGGTATCCAACTGGGGTCCTTTGTAAGAGCAATACAAACTCTTAACCTCTAAGCCATTTCCCCAGCCCCCAGGCCCATCTTCCTATGTTGGTGTTAGGGATCAAACTTAGGCCCTCATGCTTGGGCAGCATCATGCACTTTACTTTCTGAGCCTTTTCTCCAGCCCTTAACTGTTGATTCTTTTCAACCCTTTAGATCTATAGTCTCTTAGACTTGCCCTCTGTGCCTTTTAAGTATGGTGGTGGTAATATAGCAAATGGATAGTGTGTTTTGCTATTTTGAGATAATGATCTTGCTGTGTTGCCTAGTCTGGTCTTGAACTCCTGGGCTCAAGTCGTTTTTCTTCTTCAGCTACCCAAGTAGCTAGAACTACA